TATATGTCCTTAGGATGGTAGAACCGTGACGAGGGTATTAAGTGTTTCAAATCTTGATAGTGAGAACCCTATGATCACATATGGTGGCCATTCTAGAAATTTTCGTAGCCTCAGTATTATTCTGACCAAGGACATAGATAATACGATAAGACTATCATAGTGTTGAATGACCATGTCGAAAGGTAGTGGCTGATCTCACTTGTCAAGGTGTTTTGCCGATAACCTGGTGCAACACATGGGTGCTTACTGTAGGCAAGTTCACTAGACTGACCCACCAGAGGATTCTATATAGATGGTAACCCCGGTGTCTATGGAACAAATGCTCTAACGAATGGTGGTGCATGTGATCCTTAGACTTGAGATCACCGGAGCGCCTTGTGCACCGATTGGTGTAGTTTGACACTAGCTAGTTCTATTCAGAGCTATATTTATGATAGTGATTGGGTGCATCGAGGAGTGTATCAAGACTATGATGGATCGATAGAGGATTCATCACTCCCAGGTTTGGGAAAAGTTATCTCACAGTGCAATTCAGTAAATGGCAATGACACCAAATCTGTGGCTAAAGTGGGATTAAGCTGCTACTCAATTTAATTTATTATTCGGGTCATTGGTCCAGTAACTGAATACAAAGATATCAAGGATAACTGAGGTTGACACTATTTCTATACCTCAGTCTCGATGAGATAACAGATGATGAAAGGATTTGATTGTACTAACCATATCGTTGATAGATAGCTATTTCACTGAATCCAAATCTATCGGGTGGCCATGATGCCTTACTAAGGGCCAATCTTGGTCTATGTGTAGTGAGACGATTAATTGGTGTTAATCGCAATACTACTAATTTTCGGTATGATGAGGAGCCTACGGGTCACATACTTAAAAGATAATTTAAGAATCATTTTGTGCAAAGGGTATTTTCATCTTTTGGACGAAAGAGTATTTTGGTAATCTCATAATGCATTAAAATTTGCTGAGGTTGTTGCCTATATTTAATTTAATGTTAAAATTAAATTAGTGAGATTATATTTAAATATATGTACGCATATATTTAAATGAAATATTATTATCAATTAAATGTTAATATATTTTATAAATATATTAATTGATTTTAATTAATTAAAATAAAATACCATAAGAAGGGTGTTTGGATACAATGGTGGATTAGGGTTGGAGCCCATGCATATTCCTTATAAGAATAAGGTTTTAGCACATGCACGATATAAGTGCATGTGTGTTAAAGAAATTCATTCAATTGATTGAATTCATTTTATTGAAAAAGAGGCAGTCCTCTCTCCCTTCTCTCACATTCTCCCTTGGTTTTGAATCAAAGTTTATCTTTGATTCAAGCTTGATTCTTGAAGCCAATTAGTGGTTCTAGCAAATCTCTCTTTGGTTATTCGGACTGTCTTCGTGTAAATCACCGTTTGTTCAGTTCTACATTGAATCGGTAGCGAAGTAAATCCAAAAATATTTGAAGGTGCCTCCAACTGTGCGTAAGATCTCCGATCCTTGTCTAGATTGATGTTATCTATGTTGTTTTTCAATTTAAGCATGTAAAATATATGCATATCAGACCCTAATCTTAAGTTAATAAGAGTAATCGATGGGAAATAATATTTATTTTCCGATGCTTCTACCTATTGATTCGCTTACACAAATAGCGGCTCATCTCCTCTCTATCCTCTTCTACCCCTTCAAATAATAGCTAAAGACATCTATTTATAATGCTAGGGTTTTACAAGTGTGTTTACAACAATCCTATTCAGATTAGAACTCTTAAATCTGGAAAAATTCGTAATTATATAAATCCAAAATTTTTTTAGGAAATCATCATCATGTTGCAGCATGAGTTAACTGTGTCGTGGCATGCACAACAATCTTCAATTTCATCTGTCATTGTGTCGCGACATGGGTAGACTTGTGTCATGGCATGTGCCCAATCTTCAATTTCATATGTTGTTGTGTCGCGGCATGGGTAGATTTGTGTCATAGCACACAAAGATGCTCTTTTTCTTGTATGAATCTTTCTGAATTTGCTGAAGTCTTCAACACACAAACTATAGATCTTTCCGTTAGCTTTCCAATGCTTCAAGAATCATCACCAAACGAGGTCTACAACACTAGATATCATCAAAATATCGAGGCATGCTTAATACTTATTTATTTGTTGTATATATTTTTATGTAATTGTCTTTAATTTGTTTTCATATTTTGAAAACATTTTAACTTCAAAGAGGTATTGTAACTTTGAGAAATTTGTATTTAAGACTGCTGAATTTAACTTAGAAAACCTAATGAAGAAATTTTTTGAGAAGGTTTATAAAATTGTGGGTGGTCTCAAATACCCTTACTCCTTATGAAGAAGTTCTCCCTCGAGTCTGTTACTAAGTTACTAGCAACAAAGCTACGGACACCGAAAAATTTGCACCAAAATTGTGTACCGGCCTATGTGTACCAGCCGCGTGAATTTTTTTCAATTTTTTTCTAATTTGGACGGCCGTTCACTCACATGGACATATACCAGGGACGGACGTCCCCATTTAAAGGACGCCCGTCCCTGAATAAAATATAATAAAAAAAATTTATAAACATTAGGGATGGCCGTTCATCCGTTATGGACGGCCGTCCCTTTATTTTGGATGGGTGCCTGCAAATAAGGGACGCCCGTCCTTAACCAAAATATGAAAAAAAAAAAAAAAACTTTGGGGACGGCCGTCCCTTACGTTTGGAAAGGCGTCCATTCCTAATGGACGCCCGTCCCTTATGTTTAGACGGGCGTCTTTAAGGAATGGACGCCTGTCCAAACTTAATTTGGTTTAAAAAATAAAATAAAAATTTGGACGCCCGTCCATAAATTATGGACAGGCGTCCCTTAAGTTTGGACGGTCGTTAGTAACTAATGGACACCCATCCATTATGTATGGACGGCAGCCCACACTTAAGGGACGATCGTCCCTTATGTAAACAGCAAATTAAGGGACGACAGTCCACACTTAAGGGACGGTCGTCCCTTATGTAATAACTGCTCAACTTCTCCACTTTCGTTTCTCTTCTTCTTCTTCTTCTTCTTCTTCTCTGATCATCTAATAACTGCCCACGACTTTTAACTAATCAGACTTTTAAGTAAATGCATGCAGATATGCATATGGACCTGTACATCTCCATACTCAAAACTGATTAAGGCAAGAATACATTATTATTATCATCATTAGCATTGGAAGCGCTATCTTCCTCGACCTTCACTTGCGCCTCAGAAACAGAAGCTCCTCCTCCTCCTTCACCACCACCATCACCACCACCAACAGCAGCAACAGCAACAGAAGAAGCACAAGTGGTAGGGAACTGACCACAGTTCTTGCACCTGGCAACCACCAAAATTTGACTGCATGAAGGACAAGAGGAGTGTGAAGCCAGCCACTTGTCTATGCAAACAACATGGAAGCCATGACCACACTGTGGCAACATCCTCATCTCATCTCCTTCAGCAAACTCACCTAAACAAATGCACAGTTTGAGGAGGATAATGCTACAAACTCTATGGTTGTGTTGAAGGCGCACTTGGGAAGAGATTGTAGCACCCTCTTTTTAACCCCTTTGTTTGCTGCTGAGAAGGGACAGTTAGTGTTACGGCGACGACGCCAAGCACAGCTAGCTTCAGCTACTAGACCCACCACACATATCAAAGCACAAAGAAGAACAGCTAGAACCAACACAAAATCAGACTCTTCTAAAGTGACAGACTCAAGTGGTGGAGTTGAAGATGAAAAGGGTTTCTAGTGGGATAAAAGAACTCTTGAGAAACGAGTCATTGTTGGTAATAAGTCAAAATTTGTGAATGCCTTCTCCATTTCTTACAAACTTCTTGCTTCTGGTGTTTTTGTAGGCAAAAGCTCTTGCAGAGAAGAATATGCGTGATCTTCTTGCTCAAAGAGAGCAAGCTAAAAGAAATGTAAAACCTTCACTCCACTAAAAAATATTTCTCAAGCTCTGAACTAGTGCCATATTTTGCTTATTGTCTTCAATTTATTTCCGTTTGCAGAGACTAGCTGAAACACTGGATGCTAATGTCAAGAGGTGGTCAAGCGGAAAGGAAGGCAACCTACGAACTTTGCTTCTGTAGTTTTCTGGGCTTTGGAACCTTTGGATTTGGCATGCCTATCTCATAAAACAGAGACGAAGAAGAAGAGAGGAGATGGGGAATGAAGACGAAGAAGAAGAGTTTTTTTTTAGAATTTTTTTTTTTTTTAAAAAGTATGGACGGGCGTCCATTAGGAATGGACACCCATCCAAACGTAAGGGACGACTGTCCAAAATTTATGGACGGCCGTCTCCAAAGTTTTTATTTTTTTTTATTTTCATATTTTGGTTAAGGACAGATGTCCCTTATTTACGGGTGCCCGTCCAAAATGAAGGGACAGCCATCCATAACGGATGAACGGTCGTCCCTAATGTTTATAAAATTATTTTATTGTATTTTATTTAAGGACAGGCGTCCTTTAAATGGGGACGCGCCCGTCCCTGGTATATGGACCCCCATCTATATAATATGGACGGGGGTCCATGTGAGTGAATGGCCGTCCAAATTTTTTGGACAGCGGTTTACTAGAAAAAAATTGAAAAAACATTCACGCGGCTAGTACACATAGGCCGGTACACAATTCAATGCAAGTTTTTTGGTGTCCATAGCTTTGTTGAATTTACTAGATGTTTTATTTTTATCGTTTCATCAGACATCCGGACTTTGGGTTCAAAAAGCCCGAGCTGGGCTATACACCAGATTAGCCCAGTTATTAGTAGCCCAAAAAGAAAATCCATTACTATTTCAAATTGAATCATATTTTTGTACCGCTGATTTAATTTTTTTATTTAAATTTATAAGAAACTCACCTAATGAAATCCGATTCTGACAAATATTTAATTGTGATTTTCTGATAATTGGATTATAATTAATTAAAGAAGAAAAAAAAAAAAAAAAACCTCAGTCCAACTTTTAGCTTCTAACCGAGTGTTGTGTTCTTCACTGAGTTTGGTGTACAGAAAAGAAGCGTTATGTCCAGAAGATTCCATGCGGACAACTCATGACACTTGTTTTCAGAGTTATTTTCTGCCATTAAACACGCATATTCGAAGTTCTTTGCGTCGAAAATCGGATTAATTGTGTGTGATCATTTACTAAAACAGTAAAATAATATAAAATAAAAGATAGAGAGAAAGAAAGATATGATCTTGCCATTAGCTAAGCTAGGAACTCTTGCACTGAGAACTTTTTCCAAACCCATAGCCAATCGTTTCAAGAAGGAAGCCAGCATTCACCCCAAATTCCGCCAGTTTATTATCAACTTTGCCCAGGTTTTCCTTCTTTCCCTTTTCTCCCTTTTAGGTTTTATTATTAATCTGGGGTTTATCTTGAATTTTGCTCGTCAGTGATTGCTTATTTTATTTTATTTTGTTTTTCCAAAATGTACTTGCCTTTTGTGTTTCTTTCGATATCAATTTGAAGATGCTTGTGAATATGTCTTGTGGAAAACTTAGCACTATCTCAGTTTGTTGTTATGACTTCATAATACTTTTAATTGAGTTTAATCACAATGTAATGCTATATAATGTCTATTGATCCCTGTGATGAGCAATTATTTCTCAACTTAATCACATGATCATGGAATAGCATATTTAGACTTTCTTCTCAATATTGTCCATGAGCAAGTACCTATTTGAATTATGTTGCTTTACCACATTATCTTCAATAATTGCTATTACTAGCCTATAGTAGCTAATTAGAAGTGGGACTTATTTGCTTGCTATTTGTTGAAGTTCTTTGGTCACAGTTCTGGTGTCTTTCACCTTTTCCTTTTCTATGCGACATGAATCTTGATCTTTTTGTCCTTTGAAATGGCTCAAATATGTTGTGTAGTTGAATGCGAATTCCCTTCCCGGACAAAAACAAAAAGAAAGATGTTTTCATTGGAGAACTTTATTCGATGAGCTACACATTCTGAATTTTATTTTAGTTTTAAATCTGATCTTTCCATAATGAGTTCCTTCTAATGTTGAATCAGGCAAATCATCGATTTACAACAAATATGCAAAGACGCATCTACGGTCATTCAACCAATGTTGCAATACGCCCCTTAAACGAGGAAAAGGCTGTCCAAGCTGCTGCAGATCTTGTTGGTGAATTCTTTGTATTTTCGGTAATGCTATATCTTAATTTATGTCCTTGTTGTAATTATGGTCACAAATGCTTGTATGCTTCTATTATACGAATGAGTTTTAAAGGAAGGATGCTCTCGGCTCCATGTGTTATCTTGGTTTCTGGTTACTGATGCCAGGGTTTTAAGTTATGGCTAATGTCGTGTGGTAGCTGACAGATATCTAAGTTAAGTCTAGTGGTCCATTGGCTCCTTCCTCTAGTTGCCACTGGACTTGGGCTAGGAACTAGCCAACCTTGAGCAACTTCAAGGGATAATTTGGATTGGTCATGGAGACCTTGGGTGGAAATCCTTGACCTGGCTTGTTCTTGGTGCCTTTTCCAGAGTTCAGTGTTTGGGAAGTATCAGGAATCCCTGCTGGAATACCCATAATTACTCAATAGGTGAAGGCACTGAGATTACCCATGCTTGGGTTGACAGCAAGCCTAGACTCTAGTTGGCCTAAAATATTAAGTTCAAGTGGGTAGGCGGTATGCTGGCTGTCAATATGGCTGGAATAGGTTGAGAGTCTTGGCTTTGTGACTTGAGTATGGGTTATTTCAAATTTGGTAGCTCGGAGTGTATGGAGTATGACTTTCTGGACATTTGCTTTCAAATTTGATGTGTGTTGAACATGTGCAGACACAAGACTGTGTCATGACACATTTGGTGGATGTCCTTGACTCTGCTTTCAATAGGGAATTCTGTCTGTTTTAAATCCATAAATGAGGCGATCACTGCTGTTTCACTATTTCACTCTAGAAGGCCCGATAGCATGCTAAATAGTTATCATCCTTACTAGCTCATGCAATATTTATGGCTTTCCCTATGAAATCACTTTCATTAAACTTATAACCAAGATTGTTTAGTTAATGAAGATATCAACTTGTATAATCTGTGCATGAGAGATAATATAGACAAGCCTACTTGGCAGTTGATTTTGGGCTCCATGCTATTCATTTTCATCTGGGGCAAATGGCTTGTTGTAGTCCTATTGTATTGATTATCTCACTGTAGATCGTATCCTTTGTCCTCTGCATCCAATATCTTGGATATATAACTTTGAATGATTCCTGTGGTTTATGTCTAGGTTGCAGTAGCTGCTGTAATTTTTGAGGTACAAAGAAGTGCCAGATCTGAAGCAAGAAAAGAGGAGCAGCGCAGACAAGAGTTAGAGGTATAATTTTCTTTTATGTAAAAATTTCTTAAGTGTTTATCACATGGTGTCTTATTTACTCTTGCTCTCTCTCTCTCTTTTCATGAGTGTTTGTTGAAAGGAAGCACATCCGTCAACTCATTTATATTTCTTGGTCTGATAGCATAGGAATTTTTATGTTCTTCATTCCATGTAAGCTGATAACTGTACTCATGGATTGCTGGAAATTATGACCAGCTGTGTAAGCAATGAAAATGGAATTATAAAGGCCATTTGGAGAATTCACTTTGTGGTAGCTATCCCAAGTGTTGTTCATATAAAGATGATTTGCGCTTATATGGAAAGCCAAAATGAAGAGTTCAAATATCCTATCTATGAAATTAATGAAGCCTTGTCTCAACCAATTATTATTAATAATAGGCCTATCATGAGGTAGAAAAAAATAAAGATTGTAGGGGAGGGAAACTTGTGCTGGTGTTCGTTTTTAATTCAGCAATCTTTAATATATGCTTTAGGCAATGAAGCAAAGAGATGAAGATTTAGCAAGAAATTGAGCTTCTTAAACAGAACATTGCAGAGCTGGAAGAACTCTCTAAAGGACGAGGATTAAGTGGATTATCCATATTAGGCATCCTATCATACCGACAATGAAAAGGTGAAATCCACCTAATCGCTGCAATACTGAGGTAACCTGAGCTCCCCTTGTCTAAGAATGAGATATATTAACTAACTTGGTTTCGATTTGTACTTGCTAATGTTATTTCCTTTTCGTCTTGTTTTGCAGAAACAGGAACATTCAGAGAACAGACTTTTTTGAATAAATTATCACAACAGAGACTCACTATACTTGGCAAGCTGACAGAATTCCTTCAAAAGCATAGTATATAACACCAGTCAATTGCTTTTACATGGTATTTTGATTAACGAAAAGCATATGTTGATCTTTCTTTCAATTGTCAGAGTCTATTTGACGTCTATCTGTGTTGAAATATGAGGACTGAACGTTTCTTGAGGGGTTAGAATTCTTAAATACATGTTAAAATCCAAAGATTGTATAGCCATGACCCCAAATTTCGGCATAACAACATTGTTTTAAAAGTCGGACTGGACCGGCCGGTCTAACCGGTTAGACGGGAACCGGTCACGTGTCGGTTGGGTTAAGCTTAAAACGTTATAAGAAATGAACTGTATTAAACCGTTAAAAAATCGGATTTTTTCAGCGAACCGTCGGTCCAACCGGACAACTGATAAACCGGTCCAATTAAAAATGAAACTAAACTAATACACGCTTTTCATCGCGTTAAGTTGAATCAATTCATCTCTCTCAGTTTCTCACGCAAATTTCTCAGCTTTTCTCTTTTTCTGCAAAAATTTTTAGCTTCGCTTTGTTGTCGTTCTCTGCGAAGATTTCTCTCTAAAATCCCACCAAATGCATCTGAACCCTCTGAAATCGTCCCGCTCGTCGGAAATTGAAGGCGTCTTCCTCCCTCGCCGGAAATTGACGACGAGTCGACAACAGCTTCGTTCATCGCTGGAAATCGACGGCGACAACTCCATTCATTGACGATAGCTCCATTCTTCGATCCAGTTAATAAACACGCCATTTTCGATCCAGCTCAATAATCAATAATTGATGTTCTTGAAAGTAGCGTTACTGAATGTTACTGCAGAATAAGAATTAAGCTTTACTTTGACAACTTAGTTGATGTTCTTGCTTGTATTGAATAGTTCAGATGCCTAAACCTTGACATACTGCCACGAAATAAAAAGTATAAAATTTTGTCTGCTTGGTACAATACTGATTGGTTGTGCCCTCTGTTATTGGGTTGGACATTTGTCTGCTCCAAAGGATTTGGTTACTGATGCTACCCTCCTGATTATGTTGCAATGACCTGCTCTTTGTTATTTGTGCTATTATGTGAATTGTTGGATGGTCTGTGGAGGTTGGCCTTACACTGGCTAATTAGGAAGGTTTATTATTGTGGAAGAAGTGGTTTTTGCCGTGGTGTGTTAGCTCGAAGGATTTTTGACTGGTTTGTTCATTATCAGTTTTGTTGTTTGACCTTAACCTTTTTGGATTACAAATTTGGTGTGGATACTTCATACTTTGGTGGCAACTGGTGTTCTGTGTTTTTTATGATTTATGCATTTTATTTGTCTATCAGTTCGATTCGATATTTGTTGGTAAATCTATTATTTCACTAGGTAAACATCAGTGTTACATTATCTTTCATAGAAAATTACACTGGTAGAAGATTCTAGAAAGAATTGCACATTCATTAGTATGGTCATCACTCTTATTATAACTTGCTTTGTCTGGATTATGCAAGGATTCTAAAGATTTAGTTTTCTGATTTTATTTAAGCAACTTAGTATCTATTTAAATTAAATTACAAGTTTTAACTTATGATTTCTATTTTTTACTTAAATTTGCGTAGATGTGGTGATGGTTATGATGATGATGATGATGGTGATGAATTTTGATGCTAGTGTGTGAAGCTCAACAACATGGAGACGGATAAAAAAAAAAACACTTGTATCAAATGTTTTGTTATTAATTAATAGTATTTTGACATAATATATGTAATACAACATATATTGGATTTGGACTTTAAATTGTTGTTAAATAATTAAATTATGTTAGGATTGTTGTGAATTTGAATTTGAATCATGTTGGATTGGATAGTAATAAGTTGTTATTGTCTATTAAAAAATAGAAATCTAAAAAAAAAAAAAAAAAAAAAAGTTTTTTAAAAAATGTGCTAACGTCATTATGATGTGTGATGACATCACGGTCTAATCGATGGTCCAACCTGTTGAACCGGTTGAACCGTGATCAGCATCAGAGCGGATTGCCTGCGGTCCGGTTTTTAAAACAATGCATAACAGTTGGAATTTATAGGTGAGAGTGTAATATTGGAGAGTTACCTTATCATAAATACTTATGATAGAGGTGAATTTTAAAATTATTTGTAAAATGGTATAAACCTATTTTTACGTGTTATGTTACGTGTTAAGAATTTAAAAGTTAGCCCTAATCACTTATCATTTAAAGAAGTAATTATTTCTTTAATGGTAAATATTAAATATCGATTTGCTCTTGCAAATTGGAGAGTATTCTTATTTTATTTGTTAAAACACCATGAATTTATTTGCAAAGTAGATATATGATAAAAAGGTTAAATGAAAAACAGAATTTTGTACTTACAATATTTCCTAGAATTTTATAAGAAAATTGAAAATAAAGGCGTAAGAACTGTGAGAGAAGTAAATAATAAATATGAAAGAGACAGTTGGAGCCTCCTTATTAATCTACTGGGTTCGTAGGTGATACACCTTGTTATGCCTAAGAAATCAAAGGCTGACGTTGAAGTTAGTGACGAAACGTGACCTGCTCCCGTCAAAAGGTAAGCACACGTCAGGCCTGCCAAGCGCCCTGGTGCTCATGTGTCCGCTAACCTGCTCCAAATCGCGTAAAATCGGCTTGGGAAATGGGTAATGGGACATAAAGCCGGATTACATCTGACACACACACCAACCAAGGATTTAATGTCATTACACGCATTTAGCTAGGTATAAGAAAGAGGAAGACCCTTCATTAAGGGGATTGGATCATTTTACATTTGTACTCTCTCTCTCAAACAAAGCTTTGTATTTATTTTTCCATCATTTGTAAGTCAGTCCGCTTTAGCGACCTGACCCACCATATTAATACAAATCAGTGGACGTAGGATTTGCTACCTTAGCATCCGAACCACTTTAAAACTCTCATTACATTTATTTCATATTGGCAATCCATATTCAGTGTGTTCCTAGCCAATCAACGCGGCACAGTGTCAATTAGTTGGTGTCCAAATTATGCATCAACAGTTTGGCGCTAGAAGGAGGGCCCGATTTAGCGTTTACCCTTCATCAGGAGAATCTTCGACCTACTGGTCCTACAGCAACAAATGGCCCGCCAATCAGAACCTGAGCAAGCTAATCAGGCGCTGAAGGAATCCCCTTGACCCAAGGGGGTACCCTCTCCAAGGCACTTCCCGTTCCACAAAATGCTACGGGGGATATCCCGGCAGCTTCGCAACCGATCCCCATCAGAAGTTACCTGGAGAGATTTGACAACACTCTCCAGACGTAACCAGAGGTTGGACTGTTTGGACCAAGGATGTTATCTACGACAGGGGTGGTGCAACTGCCAAAGACGCCTACAGGTCGCGCAAAAGCGCGGCAAAAGGCAATAGCCCATGCCACGAGCACTACAGCGCGTAGCGTAAGGGAAAGCAAGTGGCAAAAGGTAAGCCTACGGGCTCCCAACAACCAGCGAGCCAAAACCGTGCCCCGAGCAAGGTGCCGCAAGCTGGACTCGGCGAAAAAGTAAATCCCAGCTGTCCCATGCCACGTCGCAGGCGAAACCAAGCAAAATACAAGGCGCGATGATTCCTATCACCGCAGCAGAACGATCCCGATCGTTATGCGGGTGGCCCCCATACCCCGGGGCGGTTCGTACCACCGCGAGGGTCGTGAAAACGCCCCGCGCAATCCGTCGCTTCACACGCCTTAGCCAGCGTGTGTCGAGTGCGACCGGAAATGCTGGCCGAGGCGAAGAGGAATCGACCTCCGGACTTTCCTGAACGTAATCGAGAAGGTCGGACTCGCATGGGTGAAAGCAACCCTCAATTGGGCCCGTACCGCAAATTGAGGACCTACAGCGAGCTCTGGACAGGTTAAGGGAGCAGCAAAGCAGAGGCACAGGTCGCCTCTGCATCCCATTCTCTCCCGAAGTACTAGCTGTTCCACTTCCACCAGGGTTCAGAATGCCCGACATGGACCATTTGACGGGAACCATGACCCGCAGGTCATTTGTACGAGTTCAACGACGATGAAACTCCACCAGGTTTCGGACCTTGTAAAATGCCACTGTTTGGCCGTGACGCTTACTTCTCACGCCAAGCGGGGGTTAAGGTCGCTCCCAGCGGGATCAATCAGTTCGTGGCCTCAGATGATCATGACGTTCTTACAGCATTTCAAGCCAATAGGAAATTTTCGATGCCTTGAGCTATCTCAGCAACATAAGGCAGGAAAGAGATGAATCCCTGCAGTCCTACATCGATCGTTTCCACAGGGAATTGAACAAGGTGACTCACGCTCCAGAAGAGTCCATCCAAACACTTATAATAGCTGGAGTTCACCCGCAAATGACCTGTGGAAAGAACTGCAGGCTGAGGACGATGTTTCTCTCAACAGGTTTTACAATTGGTAGAAAAGTATCTCTGAATAGAGAACTCATTGGCGGCACTTCCCCGCCGCGATCACGGGGCTTCGAGCAGTATTCCTGGTCGGGGAGAAAGTAGGAGAGCTGATCGCAAAGGAGACATTGACAATCAGCGAAAGGGGAAGAAACCCCGCTACGAGCATAAAAAGTCCATGCTCCTGTTCCTCGTCGCGACAGGGACAGAGTCACACATCCACTGAAGTGTTCCATATCCGCGATCCTTGACAAATCTAGGAGGCCAGCCTGCTCGGTGAGCAGAACCAATGAAACTCTCGCTACGGCCAGAAACAGCAAAAAATACTACCGCTACCATCGGGATAACGGGCATCACACTGAGAATGCTGAGCCCTAAGCAGGCACATCGAAGAGCTCATTAAAAAGG